TTTTCTATAGGTTTCAGAAGTTACATTAGGGAGTGTTTGGGCGCAATTCTGATGCTTTTCCGTCCTTCACTGCCATGGGGATTTGCCGCTGGGAGTGGTTCGATTTTAGGCGATTGCCTTTTGAAGATGCCTTTTTGAACAGAACGACTAGCAGGAGCAGGAGCAGCAGCAGGAGGAAACAGGAGGAAACAGGAGGAAAAAGTAGCTAAAATAGCTAATTTTCTCTAGGTTTCAGAAGTTACATTAGGGAGTTTTTGGGCGCAATTTTGATGTTTTTCCGTCCTTCACTGCCATGGGGATTTGCCGCTGGGAGTGGTTCGGTTTTAGGCGACTGCCTTTTGAAGATGCCCTTTTGACTAGAAGGAATAGCAGGTAGCAGGAGCAGTAGCAGGAGGAAACAGGAGGAAAAAGAAGCTAAAATAGCTAATTTTTTCTAGGTTTCAGAAGTTACAGTAGGGAGTTTTTGGGCTGGGAGTGGTTCGATTTTAGGCGATTGCCTTTTGAAGATGCCTTTTTGAACAGAAGGACTAGCAGGAGCAAGAGCAGCAGCAGGAGGAAACAGGAGGAAACAGGAGGAAAAAGTAGCTAAAATAGCTCATTTTCTCTAGGTTTCAGAAGTTACATTAGGGAGTTTTTGGGCGCAATTTTGATGCTTTTCCGTCCTTCACTGCCATGGGGATTTGCCGCTGGGAGTGGTTCGATTTTAGGCGACTGCCTTTTGAAGATGCCTTTTTGAAAGAGACTAGCAGGAGCAGGAGCAGCAGCAGGAGGAAACAGGAGGAAAAAGTAGCTAAAATAGCTCATTTTCTCTAGGTTTCAGAAGTTACAGTAGGGAGTTTTTGGGCTGGGAGTGGTTCGATTTTAGGCGATTGCCTTTTGAAGATGCCTTTTTGAACAGAAGGACTAGCAGGAGCAGGAGCAGCAGCAGGAGGAAACAGGAGGAAGCAGGAGGAAAAAGTAGCTAAAATAGTCCATTTTCTCTAGGTTTCAGAAGTTACATTAGGGAGTTTTTGGGCGCAATTTTGATGCTTTTCCGTCCTTCACTGCCATGGGGATTTGCCGCTGGGAGTGGTTCGATTTTAGGCGATTGCCTTTTGAAGATGCCTTTTTTCCTGTTTCCTCCTGCTGCTGCTCCTGCTCCTGCTAGTGTCTTTCAAAAAGGCATCTTCAAAAGGCAGTCGCCTAAAATCGAACCACTCCCAGCGGCAAATCCCCATGGCAGTGAAGGACGGAAAAGCATCAAAATTGCGCCCAAAAACTCCCTAATGTAACTTCTGAAACCTAGAAAAAATTAGCTATTTTAGCTTCTTTTTCCTCCTGTTTCCTCATGTTTCCTCCTGCTACTGCTCCTGCTCCTGCTACCTGCTATTCCTTCTAGTCAAAAAGGCATCTTCAAAAGGCAGTCGCCTAAAACCGAACCACTCCCAGCGGCAAATCCCCATGGCAGTGAAGGACGGAAAAGCATCAAAATTGCGCCCAAAAACTCCCTAATGTAACTTCTGAAACCTAGAGAAAATTAGCTATTTGAGCTATTAGCTATTTTAGCTACTTTTTCCTCCTGTTTCCTCCTGCTGCTGCTCCTGCTCCTGCTAGTCGTTCTGTTCAAAAAGGCATCTTCAAAAGGCAATCGCCTAAAATCGAACCACTCCCAGCGGCAAATCCCCATGGCAGTGAAGGACGGAAAAGCATCAGAATTGCGCCCAAACACTCCCTAATGTAACTTCTGAAACCTAGAGAAAATGAGCTTTTTTAGCTACTTTTTCCTCCTGTTTCCTCCTGTTTCCTCCTGCTGCTGCTCCTGCTCCTGCTACCTGCTATTCCTTCTATTCAAAAGGGCATCTTCAAAAGGCAGTCGCCTAAAATCGAACCACTCCCAGCGGCAAATCCCCATGGCAGTGAAGGACGGAAAAGCATCAAAATTGCGCCCAAAAACTCCCTAATGTAACTTCTGAAACGTAGAAAAAATTAGCTATTTTAGCTTCTTTTTCCTCCTGTTTCCGCCTGTTTCCTCCTGCTGCTGCTCCTGCTCCTGCTACCTGCTATTACTTCTGTTCAAAAAGGCATCTTCAAAAGGCAGGCGCCTAAAATCGAACCACTCCCAGCGGCAAATCCCCATGGCAGTGAAGGACGGAAAAGCATCAAAATTGCGCCCAAAAACTCCCTAATGTAACTTCTGAAACCTAGAGAAAATGAGCTATTTTAGCTACTTTTTCCTCCTGCTTCCTCCTGTTTCCTCCTGCTGCTGCTCCTGCTTCTGCTAGTCCTTCTGTTCAAAAAGGCATCTTCAAAAGGCAATCGCCTAAAATCGAACCACTCCCAGCCCAAAAACTCCCTACTGTAACTTCTGAAACCTAGAGAAAATGAGCTATTTTAGCTACTGTTTCCTCCTGTTTCCTCCTGCTGCTGCTCCTGCTCCTGCTAGTCTCTTTCAAAAAGGCATCTTCAAAGGGCAGTCGCCTAAAATCGAACCACTCCCAGCGGCAAATCCCCATGGCAGTGAAGGACGGAAAAGCATCAAAATTGCGCCCAAAAACTCCCTAATGTAACTTCTGAAACCTAGAGAAAAGGATGATTTTAGCTGCCTCTGCTGGTGTCTGCTGCTGCCTGCTGCTGCCTGCTGCTACCTACTGCTGCCTGCTGCTGCCTGCCTGCTGCTCCCTGCTGCTGCCTGCTGCTGGTGCTGCTGCTGGTGGCTGCTGCTGCTGCTGTGGTGCTGCTGCAATCAAACAGACTCCAAAGCAAGAAACAAACAGCCAGGCACCCTTTTCGAAACACATCCGAAACAGCAAAACACCACCTAATTTCGTGCCCAAAACGTAGCAAAGGAACACCAAAAAAGGGCCTAACGTCACTTCTGAAACCCTACTATAAAATTGCAACTTTGCCGCTGCCTGCCGCTGCCTGCTGCTGCTTGCTGCTGCCTGCTGCTGCCTCTGCTGGTGTCTGCTGCGCCGCTGCCTGCTGCTGCCTCTGCTGGTGTCTGCTGCTGCCTGCTGCTGCCTGCTGCTGCCTGCAGCTGCCTGCGGCTGCCTGCGGCTGCCTGCCTGCTGCTGCCTGCTGCTGGTGCTGCTGCTGGTGGCTGCTGCTGCTGCTGCTGCTGTGGTGTTGCTGTGGTGCTGCTGCAATCAAACAGCCTCCAAAGCAAGAAACAAACAGCCAGACATCCTTTTCGAAACACATCCGAAACAGCAAAACACTACCTAATTTCGTGCCCAAAACGTAGCAAAGGAACCCCAAAAAAGGGCCTAACGTCACGTCTGAAACCCTACTTAAAATTGCAACTTTGCCGCTGCCTGCCGCTGCCTGCTGCTGCCTGCTGCTGCCTCTGCTGGTGTCTGCTGCTGCCTGCTGCTGCCTGCTGCTGCCTGCTGCTGCCTGCTGCTACCTGCTGCTTGCTGCTGCCTGCCTGCTGCTCCTTGCTGCTGCCTGCTGCTGGTGCTGCTGCTGGTGGCTGCTGCTGCTGCTGCTGTGTTGCTGCTGCAATCAAACAGCCTCCAAAGCAAGAAACAAACAGCCAGACACCCTTTTCGAAACACATCCGAAACAGCAAAACACCACCTAATTTCGTGCCCAAAACGTAGCAAAGGAACCCCAAAAAAGGGCCTAACGTCACTTGTGAAACCCTACTATAAAATTGCAACTTTGCCGCTGCCTGCCGCTGCCTGCTGCTGCCTGCTGCTGCCTGCTGCTGCCTCTGCCTCTGCCGCTGCCTGCTGCTGCCTGCTGCTGCCTCTGCTGGTGTCTGCTGCTGCCTGCTGCTGCCTGCTGCTACCCGCTGCTGCCTGCTGCTGCCTGCCTGCTGCTCCCTGCTGCTGCCTGCTGCTGGTGCTGCTGCTGGTGGCTGCTGCTGCTGCTGTGGTGCTGCTGCTGTGGTGCTGCTGTGGTGCTGCTGCAATCAAACAGCCTCCAAAGCAAGAAACAAACAGCCAGACACCCTTTTCGAAACACATCCGAAACAGCAAAACACAACCTAATTTCGTGCCCAAAACGTAGCAAAGGAACCCCAAAAAAGGGCCTAACGTCACGTCTGAAACCCTACTTAAAATTGCAACTTTGCCGCTGCCTGCCGCTGCCTGCCGCTGCCTGCTGCTGCCTGCTGCTGCCTCTGCTGGTGTCTGCTGCTGCCTGCTGCTGCCTGCTGCTACCTGCTGCTGCCTGCTGCTACCTGCGGCTGCCTGCCTGCTGCTCCCTGCTGCTGCCTGCTGCTGGTGCTGCTGCTGGTGGCTGCTGCTGCTGCTGTGGTGTTGCTGTGGTGCTGCTGCAATCAAACAGCCTCCAAAGCAAGAAACAAACAGCCAGACACCCTTTTCGAAACACATCCGAAACAGCAAAACACCACCTATTCTTGTTGTTGTTGTTGTTGTTGCTGTTGCTGTTGCTCTTGCTGTTGCTGCCATAAAATAAAATTAAAATAGAATCCTGTTGCCTGCTGCCTGCTGCTGCCTGCTGCTCCTGCCTGCTGCTGGCTGCTGCCTGCTCCTGCCTGCTGCTGGCTGTTGCTGGCTGTTGCTGGCTGCTGCTGGCTGCTGCTGGCTGCTGCTGGCTGCCTAACGCCGGCTGCTGCTGGTTGCTGCTGCCGGATGCTGCCTGCCAGACACCTACTGCTGCCTGCTGCTGGCTGCTGCTGGCTGGTGCGGGCTGCTGCTGGCTGCTGCTGGCTGCTACCTGCTGCCTGCTGCCTGCTGCTGCCTGCTGCTGCCTGGTAGTAAAAGTAGCAGTGCTGTACCTCTTCTTCCCTTACGCGCTCCCCCTTGCATCGGCCGGGGTCAGCGAATTATTATTATTCTTTCCTGGCAGCTGTATGCTCCCCCTTGCATCGGCCGGGGTCAGCGAATTATTATTATTTCTTTCCTGGCAGCTGTGTCATAAACTCTTTTTCCCTTACGCACTCCCCCTTGCGTCTGCCGGGGTCGGCGGATTTTCCATTGCTAGCGTTTGTCGTGCTGACGCTGCGTCTATGGATGTGACCAAACCAGAGTTGCGATGCCTCCTTGCGGGAGGTGCGGGCGGTTCAGCCCGCACACGTCGTAAGCGCAACAATCCACAGCATGAGTCACCACAAAGCCTGGCTACTGCTTTGACAAATGTGATCCAGCAGTGGCAGCCTAGCAATCAAAATACGCCTGAAGACCACACTTGGGGGTGGCGGAAAAGAAGGAAACAAGCAAATAATTCATGGCAAGGATACCGGGCTGACAGCTCTCCTGACACCAGCCTTGCTCGCGAATTGCTACAGCTTCTTCAGAAACTTTGCGCAAACCAAGCAAGTGACCAGGAAGTGATCACAGCCACCAGCAGGCTGATTGACACCAACCAAGGACACAGCCGTGACCTTGGGAAACCAGTTGCGGTCAGGGAAGTCAGATACAGCAAGCCCCAGAGTGGAGCGAAAGCTTCAAATCATGGTGCCAATCGCTGGGGAAAACAGACCAACCCCAACCGAGGCTGCAGCCATCAAGATATCACTGGTTTTGTGCCCAGCGAATGGAATGCCCAACCAAAGTTCCTATCCGTGCATGAGATCATTTCTCAGATAAAAGCAGGAATAGCCTTGCAAGCCAACATCACCGAAGTTTACACCAAAGAACAGTGTGCGAACCTGCGCACCCTTTGGCATAGCTATGGGTGCAAGGGCTCTTTGACCATGCTGCTCACCAAGGATGCCAAAGACATCCTGGGGGCCACGGCTACCCGTGTTCGCATATCCAGGGCGCATGGCACACCGAAAATTGAAGAAATAGCTCTCCTGCGCTTAGGAGATACCAACAGTGGATTGTGGATCTTGCCCGCAGTCAAAGTTGATGAGGGGAAAATCAAAACAGTCCAAAGAAGCACTGTCAGAGTCATTGCACCTTTGGAATTCCGAAAGCACTTCTTGGATTCAGGCCAAGACCTACCCAGATTGGTGGCGGCTGCCATGGCCCAGTGGAGTGAAAAAATAAAAGCCTCTCACCTCATGGGTGGCAAATGGAATCACACGCAGGTCCATCAACAAGACTTGCTCACAGGCTGGCTGATTTTGCCAACAGAACAGGCTAAGGAGCTTGTTGTCAATAGCGGTCGCCAGGGTGTTTTTGCCCAGATCCAAGAAAACAATACTGGACCCAGGCCCATCCGTTGGTTTCAACGACAGAACAACGAAAATGCCGAGACTTATTTGCAAAGATGTCTCAAGGAAGCTAAGCTCAGGAAAGTTGGCTTTTTTTTCGAAAAAGCAGCACACCACACACCATTGGCATGGAAAAAACAGCAGCAGAAATAGCTGAGGGCCAAGCGGCCAACTACCTCCTCCGAGGGGCTCCAAAGATGTGGCAGACTGAAGAGATCGAAGATTTTCTCAATCAACAGAAATGGAAAGCCGTGCAACGCATTTCCAAAGTGAGATATCGAAACGAATGGCGTTTTCATGCCCAGCCACCTTCAGCTATGCAGGAAAATTACCATTACGATTTGGCAGAAGGCTACATGTCATGCATCCCAGCTCCTGTCAGACAACACCAGCCAACCTGGCAACAACCTGTCAGAAACACATGGCGAGGAAATGAGCTGGGGAAAATTGGAAATGAAGCCAACAATCCTGGCGATACCGGTGACGTCATGGCAACTGCTCTGGATCAGGACTCCAGTCAAGCTTCACAAAAAGAGGCTGGTAGGGAAAGAAGTCGGAGCCCAGTTCGCTCCAAGCAGCGGCAGGCTGTTGCAGATGACCCAGATTTGATCCCAACAGACATCGCGGAATGTTTCAAAAATGGCTGGGAAAGTCAAGATGTTGGTGGCAATGGAGATTGTTTTTATCGAAGTATTGCTGCTTGTCAACACTGGCAAAAGCATCATAAGTTGA